CAAATTGTCTCAATGTTGCTATGAACACGAACCAACGTACATCGATTCACTAGTGATTCAAGCGCACCCAGTGGCAGAAAGGTGAACTATTAGCTTTGTATATAATTGTGAACCATGATTACGATGAAAAAGCCTATACCGTTCGGACTCCTTTTATCTATACTTCGTGGGTAAGAGCTAGGGTTAGTTGAAGTTGCTAAAGTACATAGGTGAAGTGTATGTCGTCGGGCAAATAACTTGTACATTATTTAAATAAACAAAAATGTCGCATATCGACCGTGATTTAGACTTATCAAATGCGTCTCGTGGTGTTTGGCTTGTTAAAGTGCCAAAATATATAGCCAGCAGATGGGAGAAAGCCCAAGGTGAAACAGAAGTTGGGAAATTGAAGATAACAAAGTAATTCTCCAAAAAAAAGTTGTTTATTTTTATATTAATGTAATAATTTATCACAGTACACAAGGACAGAAACCACAAGTGTCTCTCACACTGTCACAGACTATTTTAAACCTGAACGATGCAGGAGAAGAACCAATTCCAAAAGATCACAGATTAGACTTCTCTACTGTAACTCAGCAGACTCTTGGTGTTTTTTCACATATGATCCGTTAGTACCATAGAATACCATAGAATAGAATAGTTGTATTAATTCTTTTTGTGGTACTTTTTAGCTGAAAAAACTGATTCAGTAGTGCCAGAAACAGAAAAGTTGTTTATGGAAGGCAGCATTGTACAAAAACTTGAATGTAGACCATATGCTGATAATTGTTACATGAAACTTAAACTAGAATCAATCAGAAAGGCTTCAGTGCCTACCATGCAGGCTAAACATATGGAGAGGATTGTTCAAAACTTCAAGCCTGTTTCCAATCACAAACACAATGTAATACAGAAGTAGGTTTGTGAAATAATAGTTCAATAAAATACCATGTTTTTTTCAGGTTGAATATCAACAGAAGAAGAAAGCTGAGGGCAAGAAGGCAAGAGATGATAAAGAAGCTGTTTTGGAGATGTTATTTGCTGCATTTGAGAAGCATCAGTATTATAATATCAAAGATTTAGTTAAGATCACAAGGCAGCCCATAACTTATCTTAAAGAGATTTTGAAGGATGTATGCAACTATAATCTTAAGAACCCCCACAAAAATATGTGGGAGTTGAAACCTGAGTACAGGCATTATAAGGATGATGACGATGATGATGTCAAGAAGAAAGATAAAGGTAATGATTCTGATGAAGACTGATGATTTATATTCAAATTATGGATTTATATGATCGAATAAAGCAAAAGTTCAATTAAGTATATTTAGAAATCAATATAAGTGTGAAATAAGGTGTAAATTAGCCTATTTGTTATTCGAATGTGTTAAATCTTTCCGGTTTATTTTGTTCTGTCTTTTCTCTTTTGTCAACCTTGCTGTCCACAATCGTTCTGACTAACTAAAGATCTTTCTGACACTGCGTTATAATTTTTTTTTCAACTTCCACCTTTAAAGCACCAGATTTTCCACGGTTTTGAGACACAACAAGTACTTTCGACATGGACTGCCAAGACCGTGACTAAAGTACTTCAGTCACAGGGTGGAGTTAGCGCCTGCGCATTTGCCTATGATGCAGCACAAGACCATATAAAATACCATGCTGCTCCGTCAAACAAACATATGGCCCGGCGCGTGGCATGGCGTTTGCCACCTTGTTTCCTTGCAGTGTGCTAGCAAATTTCGATGATTTAAAATACAAAAGTTGCCACTTTAATAAACGCCGTTAAACAACTATACACGAACACAACAGCCTGCGTGAAGTATTGCGGCGCAATATCAGATGCTTTCCCAACAACAAAAGGCCTAAGACAGGGGTGTGCAATATCTCCAACACTTTTCAACATATATTTGCAGGAAGCTCTAAAAGAATGGAGGAAAAAATGCAAAAACATGGGTATCCCACTGAATGAAACCACACTGTACACCCTCCATTTTGCGGACGATCAAGTGGTCCTGTCTCAAGATGCAGAGGATATGGAATACATGATACGCAAACTTATAGAGCAATACCAAGAGTGGGGACTAACAGTAAACATGGAGAAAACGCAATATATGGTCATAGGTGAAGAGGGAAAAGACCTCCAACTAAACAACGGTATGGTGATAA